GAAAAAAAAAAATTAAAAGGAAGGGGAGAAGTAAGTGTCAGAACCAACAGAAGAGAAGGATGGGAGCAGCACATTGAAGAAAAATATGACCACTGTCTTGGGCATCAGTATTTGCCTAACTATATGTTTTAGCTATATCCTCAGCAAAGGTTAAATCAAGAAGGGAGAATGTGAGAACCACATTGATAGGATTTACCTTTAGGACATAGCTTCACAGTATGAAAAGATGAGTAGTGTGTTGACTTGTCATGCTCCTTCTTCACTTTAAAGCAAGTCAGTCCTACAACTGAGTTTGTAATATGGCTTCAGAAATAACTGTGCTGGCAAGACTGGGAGTGCAAGAGGCTATGACAGAGGGGCAGGAAGGAAACAACCTTTACGTAAAAGCACAGGGGGGTGGGGGATAACTGAAGCAAATCTCATTTTAGAAAGTGAAGCATCAGGGAGCCGTTAGGGCATCACTGCCCTAACTAGCCCTGACCAACCTCCCCACACTCCTCTGCCCAGGACCCCCATTTCGGCTGCCCCCGGGGTCCTTGGCCCCTGCCCCAGCCTGTTCCACTCTCCGTCCTGAACTATCGTGAGGGTTTCCCAGACTGACCCGGGACACTGCTCGTTACCTGGCTGTTACCGTAAATCCGGTCTCAGAAGAACCCTCCAAGACTTAGTCTGAAGTTTCAGAAGACAGGCATTCTTTATTGCAGCGCTGGATGCACAGGGAATCACTCCACCTAATGTGCATACGCTAAACCAAAAGGTCGTCCTTTATGTACCTGAAATACATGAATATTCATACATTTCCCAAGAGGTCTCCTCCTTTCTGCCTATCTACTACATTTACATAACGCTGGCGTTGTACAAATACACTACACAGGCGCGGGGGTTTCAGGTGGTCGTCAGTGGTCATTTGGAGAGTTAGCCCCATACGCCTTTTTCCCTTTTATGGTCACGAGTCCATAAAAGTTCCCTATGGTCACAAGGTAAATTTCTTCTTCTTGGATGTTTCCCAACTCTGTTGTCTGGCCAGGCTGTTCTTTCTTACTCACCTTGTCTGATCAATTCTGCCAGGATATTTCTGTTCTCAAGGTTAGGATATCTTCCCTGTACACTTCAATCACTCGGGCCTTGTTAAATACAAAGCTAAACATTGGTAAAAGAATTTCTTAACATTTTCCCCCTTTGAGACCTCCAGGTATACACAATTAGGTACAACATGACCACCTGAGGCATAACGGCATGCTTCTCTTAACACTTGACTGTTACAGGCCTCGACTTGCAGGCATCAGCTTAGCAGGCATCACGGCTGTCACCTGGTGACTGCTGGGCTGTCCCAGCTCATCCACCCCGGGCAGCATCCCTGCCTTTGCTGGTCTCTGACAAATAATCTCCAATTGTATGGTAGCAGGCAAAAGCTGGGTCTGAGCTTTGTTTAAGACACTTGAATGTGAGCTGCTGCTGGCTGTCGTTATTTTGATGGTACTTCCAAATGGCATCCAGAGGTCCCTTCCCCAGATACAATTCAGTGAATCTCAGCTACAGCAGTAAAACAGTGTTTTCTCCAAAGCAGAAGTTTGTGCCACATACTGAGTGTTCATGATCATGTCCACAGCAGGAGTGAGCCTTTCTGCTAAAGACTCTGGAGATGCTGATGGATCTCAACTACTGTAAACTGTAAGGGCCACAGTGAAAAAGTGATCTCACAGAGAGCAGAGCTAAAGCCAAAGCATTAATGAAATTCAGCTATGCATTTTAAAACCTTAATTTCAATGGTTTTACAAGAGATTTGCAAAAGCACCTAGAAAACATTCAAATGGATGTGTGGTACTTAACAACAGTATGAAAATGGGAATATAGCCCAAAAACTGCTCAGTCAACCAAATAAATTGCCTTAACAATCAAGTAGGAAGGCACTGGCTTACCATGGAAATCTTGGTATAAGCGTAAATCTTACTACACTGAGCAATGCGAACCTTCGTAACTGAACCTAGTAATACCTTTATTCTAGAATGCAGTAGAAGAGAAAGAATGAAACATTCTGGGCTTTATGAACGTTCACAGAGCAACATGTCAGTCTGCCAAAGCACCACAATCATAAAGAAAATTTGGCAACAAAAAGCCATTCAAATGTTAGAAGCCATGCTGTCTGCTTTAAGCTCCACACTTCAGACTTCAGAAAGGTAGAAATCCACAAAATGTGTAGACAACATCTGAGTGTTCCTAAAGTAAATCTGTGGAAAATGGAAGGTATTATATGAAATAAATATGCAACAAATAACTAGATTTGTCAGAGAGATCCTTAACTGTTATCTCCAAAGTCATCTTGTATAAAAAGCAGTCTCTCTACAGGCACTATTGAGCACCTCAGAAAAACTCCATAGAGGACTGCTAGGATAATCCCACTGTTGAAGACACACACACACACACACACACACACACTTACTACACACTCTGCCTTTGCAGAACAAAAGTGGATAACATATTATAAAAATTATCTTGCAAAATAATTGATTGTTCCCCTCTCCCTGGCTATCTTTTGCCAATGTCCAAAGCTTGTCCTAGTGATTTTGTGCAATAGTTGGGACATATTCAGAAGTGGAAAAGAAAATCATGAGAGGATTTGTAATACTGAAATAGGTCATTGATTCGTAAGTTCATATACAATGTTTTACACAGATGTTCTGTATTTAAAAACATACACGTGATTTTTTTCTGAAGACATCATTTTCATGTTTGGAACATGACATTTGATTATCTTCATTCAGACTTAAATATTTGTATTTTAGCACAGTAACCAATGTTTAATTAATACAGCTTGCATTCTGAATTAACCTTTTTCTGCTTACAGACCAGATGCCTTATTCACACATGTAGCGTACAGGTATGAGTTAAAATCCTGACTCTTGCTCAGTGAGCTGATTGAAGTTGCCCTCATGGTAGCTGAAAAGTAATCAAAATCTTGTTCCAAGCAAAAGTCCAAATCAAGCATAAGAAATTCTTTGAAGAGGCTTGCTAAGACTTAAATTGTCAAAATAATTCCTGTCATGTCTTCTCCTTGGAGATCAAAATATTTTCTTTCAAGTTGGATACTGAATTCCTCTAGTGCCATCAGGTAACTATTTCCTGAGTGTTTGATTTTATACCAAAAAGGTTTATTCCATGAGGAGGAAGTTCTAGTATTATACTGTCTTTGGTAGGGCTCCTGACACAGTTTCCCACATAATTCTTGTACCTCATCTGGGTGGATGGGTAGATAATTAGATGGGTGAAAACTGGCTGGAATCAAGGTCAAAGTGTAGCAGTCAAAGTTTTGTACCCTACCAAGAAGCTGTTAACGAGCATAGTTTGTCAGGGTCTACCACGGGTCCTTGTCCTGTTTATTATCTGTAAATATGGAGAAGATGGAGTGCACTCTCACCAACTTTGCAGGTAACACCAAACCATGAGACTTCAGTCTAAAGGCCAAGGTCAGGGCATTTCAGTTGGATCAGATGAGGAAGCAGACCAAGCAGGAACCTGTCACAATTCAACAAAGGCAGGTCCAAAGTCCTGCACCCAGGATGCACTAACTACTTGCAACAGTACAGGCTAGGGACAGACCACTGAGGTACCATCTGTGCTGAAAAAGTCTGGGAGGCACTGGTGGACAGCAAGCTAAGCAAGCATGTGCCCTGGCAGCAAAGGTAACATCCTAGGCTATACGAACAGGAGGCTAGCCACTACATCAGGGGAAACAAGTACCCCCCTTTATTAGGCACTCCTTATACCACATCTGGATAACTGTCTGTTACCTGTTGTTAGTGTATGTATTAAATTTTATGTTCTTTTTTACTTCCCCTAATGAGTCTGGGTTTTGCCTGTACTGTAATGGATGAGATCATCCTTCCCTGTCCTTATCTTGATTTCATGGCACTTTTGTTTTATTTTCTCCTTCTTAGTGCTGAGGGGGAAGTGGGGAGTAAGCAGTGTCTTTGCTTTGTTTTTCTCTTCTCAGCACTGCGGGGGGAAGGGTGGGAGTGATCATCTGCATGGTGCTCAGTTGCCCTCTGAGCTCAAGCCATGACACTTGGTACAAAATTTACGGCCTGTTCTGAGCAATGACAATATTTTATTACAGGGCTACATAGCTGCAAGTTCATAATGATCAAATACAGTACTTTAGTTGTTTACAAATAATTTCTTTGTAGTCTTTGTTCTGAGACTTTAATGAAGGAATACTGCTTTAATCCTATAAAAAGCACTCATCACAGATTGTTTAGACATACCTCAAAACATAGCCAGTAGGAAAAGATGGTAGTTAAAGTAAAACAGAGGTTACATAGCTGTGTTTCTGAGCCTGTGTGAAAACACCTGGGATATATGAAGCCACACAATTTTAGAAAATAACATTATCTTTTTGAACACTTGGAGGCCTCATATGTTAGCAGAAAGCAGAGCTCTCTTACAAATGTCTGTAAAAACCTTTTCTGTATTATTTATCTCAACAAGTGATTAAAGTATCAGAACTGTCATGTTCTCCAACCATTACCTTCATGAAAATAAACGTCTTTCCTAAGTATTAAAGGCAAACCAGTAATAGCTTTATATTATGAGATTAAACTGTAATGACTGTCCAGATCATAACATTTATACATTTATGACCTGCCATACAGCCTCTCTGTGGCACCTCTGGGCAGTTAATAAAAATCTTTATCCTGACTCCAGAAATCCTTTAACTCCTTGGACAACAAGCTACCAGCATTCCCAGGGGAAGAAAATCTCTCTTATATGTCATTAGATACTTTTATGCATAAATAGCTCTAAATACAGGTATATTTACATTATACCAGCTGATAAGTGTTTTTCACTCTATGTATCAGCAATTGTTTTCAGAAGTATCGTACCTCAATTACACGAGGACATTCTGGCTGCTGCTGAAGTGAGTCAGTTTTGAGGAAGACTGTTTTCCTGATTTCGTTTTCACATGCCTTGACATGAAACAGATACTTGAAAATTGTTAACAGATGATAGCAAGTCATCGGAAGTTACAACAGAAGGATGAGAGGGACGGAACTAAAAATACACGTATGGGAGAGCAGAGAAGACACAAAAGGGGATAAATAAAGCAGAGCAGAGAGTTCATTTGAACCAGACGTATTAGACTAGATGTTTTCAGCGCAAATCAAAAGGTTCACTGATAAGGAGTTCAGACAATGCAGTGGAAAACTTCCATAGCTCCAGTAGCAGTATCTGGAAGCATTTTACACAGCTGTCTTCACAGAAGACCCTCTTGATTTCAATGGGAGTGTCCATCCTCCATCACATCCCATATCCACACCCTCATAGCAAGTTGTTATTTAACTAGTATCCTGTAATTATGTCTAAAGGGCCTGTGAATGAAGGAAATTAAAGGAGACAAAATTGTTGCCTGAAAATAGGAAACACTAGGTGTCAGACTTCTTTTCCATTAAATATTATCATGAATCTGGCACTGTTTGCTCTGGAATTCCAAAATACCCTCCAAATTCTGAAACCCAAAGGAACCGTGCAGAGATTTGGCTGAATTTAATTGTTTGCAAGAAGGAAAACAAATGACTGATTTATCAAGTATGTTTTGAGAAATTTTGCGCAGAGAGATTTGGACATAAATTTGTTAGGTGGAAGGGGATATGATGAGATATGTATGTACTTTACCTCTGTCCTAGTTTTGGCTTGGATAGAGCTAATTTTTTCTTACTAGCTAGAAAAGTGCTGTGTTTTGGATCCACTATGAGATTTAGTGTGAGAAGAATGTTGATAATATGCTGATGTTTTCAGTTGTTGCTATCAAGGACTTTTCAACTTCCATGTCCTGCCCATGCACAGGTCTACAAGAAGCTGTGAGAAAGCACAGCCAGAGCAATGGGTCTGAACTGGCCAATGGAATATTCCGTATCATATAATATCCTTCCACTCACAGTTTTCACTTCGTTCTGCTCAGTGCATCACAGAACAGAATTTCAGCTGCACAAGACCCACTCTCTTTTTTATCATATCCTAGATCAGGATATGCTCTCATTGGCAACAAATTTCTCACACACAGAAAGCTAAATTCCTTTGCTTCTTCAAAAACATGACAAAAAAAATTTTTTTTTTTTTTTTCTGAAAATATGGATGTGTTCATCTGTACATGAATAGAACTACACAACTTTACCCATATCTCAGAAATCCTGGGCATTACATATGTGAGCTAATGCTGCATTCCAACTGTCATTTTTTTGATCCTCATTTTTCACAAATTTCTCAGCCTGGTTTCTTTAAAAAAATTTCTCATGCTTTGTTTCAGCACAGATATGTTCTTTTGATTTGGATGTATAATTTTTCTGGTTTTGATATTTTGTCTTTGCACCTCAGTCAGGGAAATCCCCAATATCATTATAGACTGGGTGGTGAATGGATTGAGAAGAGAAGAACTTGGGGATACCGATACATGAAAAATTGGACATAAGCCATCAATGTGCACTTGCAGCCCAGAAAGCTAACCATATCCTGGGCTGCATAAAAAGCAGCACGGCAGCAGGTCGAGGGAGGTGATTCTTCCCCTCTACTCTGCTCTGGTGAGACCCGACCTGGAGTACTGTGTCCAGTCCTTCAGGCCCCCAACATAAGAAGGAAGAACTTTTTTTGCGATGAGGGTGGTGAGACACTGGCACAGGTCGCCCAGAGAAGCTGTGGCTGCCCCCTCCCTGGCAGTGTTCAGGGCCAGGTTGGACGGGGCTCTGAGCAACCTGGGCTAGTGGAAGGTACCCCTGCTCATGGCAGGAGGATGGAAATACATGATCTTTAAAGGTCCCTTCCAACCCAAATCATTCCATAACTCTATGTTGAAATTCAGGAAAATAAGGATTTGTTACACTTAGATTCAATGTGCTTTCCAAAAACCAGACTGTAATTAGGTCTACTAGCAGTAGAGAACTTTCCTGAGTAGTAAGTTACTTAACTTCAGAGATGCATATGAACTGAAAGAGTTTGCATGTACGTAAGAAGTATTCTTTGCATCATTATTGTGACAGAACACATTTCCACAATACTAATGGAATACCAATAATTGAAACAAACCACAGAATACTGGTGTTCAAATTCCAAATTTATGCTGTTTCCTCTGGCATGTGTCCAATCTCTGCAAAAGTATCCATGTTTATCACAACATATATAACAGCATAATTCACCTAATTTTACTGTTAGTATGAAAAGTATCGAAAAGAAATAAAACTACATGAATGGCAAATGATGCATATCACCCTAGCTTGGATAAACAAGAACAATGAGAGCTAAACCTAATGATGAGTCAACACTTGAACATAGGTTGCATGCATAAAATGAAGATTCACTAGAACCATCATGGGTGCAATTATACTCAAAAAGCAGTGACTCTTAGCTCTGTTTTTGTTTAATAGGCATACTTAACGGATTCATCCAAAACCACGGAACATCTCCACAGCCTTCACACACTACTTGCTTGATGTCATAAGAATTACAGCTAACCTTGGCGCGGTCAGAGTGCAATGTCAAGTTTGAGGCCCGCAGTAACACCTTTGGTCACTAGATGTCCCTACACTCACGTTTGAAGGCGCTGTGCTCTGGACGGATGCTCGGTGCTTTCGGACACTCACACTGCGGTATCTAACAAGAGGCTGTGCTCTTGTATTTAAGATGCAGCTGTGATGCGTCCTATCCAGTCCACTTAAAACATCTAACATTGTCCAGTATTTGGTAAAATGAGGGAACATCCAACTCCACATATAATCTTGCAGATTATATTTTCATTTCTGTCCTCTGCCTTCAAATGCACTGTATGTAAACAAGAAGATCAATGCTACTTGGTCACGTTTCAGAAAAAAAAAGTTACTCTTATTATGATTACTTATTTTAATCCACCCCAATCTAACCACTAATAATATACATTCACGTTTTAATCAACTATTTAGAGCAGACAAAATTGGATCATCCTGGTCTCATTGATAAAGAGAAATTATTACTTGTTTTGTGATTTATTTACTTATTTACTTATAGAAAACTGCTTAGCAACTTATTTACTTATTTATAGCAAGTTATAGTATTTTTAAAAAATTGCTAAAAATCCTGCTTGCCCAGACTGTTCTGTGGGATTTTACCAAGGACAACTGTGTTCATCAAAACAAAGCAGTTCACTGTGAAAAATCTACCAAGGATTACAATGTTCAGCAAAATATTATACTTTTGGCCTTGAATACCAGGTGGCTCTAACTAGTTGGAATTTTGCTAATGAGTAAAGATAGCCACATACGGATGGTAGAGGTTCTGTTGGTTCTCTTAGATAAAATAGGAAGTAAACCATCTGAAACACGCTCTTGTTATTCAAGAAATTGGCCCAGAGAATCTGCACATGCTCTGGGGAAAAAAAAAAAAAAAAAAGTGAGAAAGACTACGAGCCTTCCTCCCAAAGACCCCTGAAGATGACCACCAAGAGAAAATGCGCAGATGCAAAGATGACATAAACTGTTGACACCAGCCTCTAGAACTAACCCAGCCTTACTCATGCATATGTATGTTTGTGTTATGTAACCCAGTGAGTATGGATATCCACCCTCTAAGTTTTTGGTAAAATGTGCGGTGGGTGTGCAAGCTTTGTGGAGAGATCCCCTTGCACCCTGGCGCTGGAGTAAACATACCTGCTGTATAACTCTATCCGAGTTGTAGAGTCTGTTTTCTGCGAATCATGACAGCTAATCTTGACTAAAGCTCTTCCTATGAAGCTCTGAGATATCAAGTGTTACAATAAGTTGTCTACATAACAGCAGTTCTGGGAATGACATGCCTTCTTGGCACTGCTCCTGCCATGCATGGTTGTGAATTCAACAAATCAGTAGATTCATGCAGTAGATTACCAGTCATTAGCATGTGGATCCCTTGGAAGAAAAGGGCCTGGCAATAAAATGGAGATTGCTCTGAGTTCACATAGAGAAGAAAAATTCAGTTTTTGATGAGGCAATGAAAGTGAAGAATCTGCTTCCAGGTGTGTTAAGAACCATGATCAAACCAACTAAGCAGAAAACTTAATGAATTCCAGAAACAACAGGGCAAAACTTTGCAGTTTTCAGAAAAGCAGGAAAGCAAATATAAGAGGTTTTGTTATGACCAAAAGGTAATTTAAAATCAGATTTGAATGTAAATCCAATCTTTCCAAATGCAGAACATAATCTTTGTTATAGCTCCAAGCCTTGGCTGCTGTTTTTCTGTTTTATTTTCAGATATTAAAATATTTCATAGAATCATAGAACATCTCAATTTGGAAGAGACCCATAAGGATCATCAAGTCCAACTCCCTGCTCCTCTCAGGACTACCTGAAACCATATGACTAAGAGCATTGTCCAGATGCTCCTTGAACTCTGACAGGCTTGGTGCCACGACAGCTTCCCTTGGGAGGCTGTTCCAGTGACCAACCACCCTCTCAGTGAAAAGCCTTTTCCTAATGTCCAAGATGAACTTCCCCTGATGCAGCTTCATTCCATTTTCTTGTGTCTTATCGCTCATCACCAGGGAGAGATAGCACCTCCCCCTCCACTTCCCTGCTTGAAGAAGTTGTAGACTGCAATAAGGTCACCCCTCATTTTGAATTGACATCATAATCTAAATCAAGGAAATACACATTCCGTTTTTACCTTTCTGAAGAGTGCTCTTCCAAAGACTGCAGATTGAAATGTAAGGAGCACACCTTTCAGAGCAATTCTCCAAGCTCTAAGACAGTTTCTTTGACCCGTCCAGACACTATGTAGACAGCCAGTACCCCCATCTACGCTGTTTGAATTTTTCATATAATATAGCGTTCTCCCTAAGATTTGGTGTTCCTTTGTTTACTTAATCAGCTTTTTAGATGTTTAACAGCAAGACAGGAAGTAAAAATTTCAATAAAGTATTCTTCACTGTTACTATGCTTGACAGCCTGTAATTTTGCGTAGCCACTAAATCACTTATGTTCCACACATGCACAGAACAGGGAAGATACTGCCTTCTCCACTTGGTTCCCTAAGGAAGGAGATTTTGTTAACCATCCACTCCTTATCCTTCAAGCAAAGTAAAGCAATGATTTCCAACCTGGGAACTCTTTGGCTTTTAGAATGTCTTCAAAATTAAGAAAGTAAGACTTCAAAATTAAGAAAATACAGAAGAAAAACAAAAGATCACTTATCCTTCAGAGTTAGCAGCTTTATTTAAACTACAGCCAGTGAAAATGGGAAGCAATTGTGGTTGATGAGACTGGCTGCCCTAATCAAATAGCTCATGAGAGGGGTGGTACCAATTGTGGTACTCACCTGATTTGCTGATGAGTTTGTTTTATGAAGGCAATAAAAAAACTAACTCAAAGGAAAAAAAAAAATTAAAAGGAAGGGGAGAAGTAAGTGTCAGAACCAACAGAAGAGAAGGATGGGAGCAGCACATTGAAGAAAAATATGACCACTGTCTTGGGCATCAGTATTTGCCTAACTATATGTTTTAGCTATATCCTCAGCAAAGGTTAAATCAAGAAGGGAGAATGTGAGAACCACATTGATAGGATTTACCTTTAGGACATAGCTTCACAGTATGAAAAGATGAGTAGTGTGTTGACTTGTCATGCTCCTTCTTCACTTTAAAGCAAGTCAGTCCTACAACTGAGTTTGTAATATGGCTTCAGAAATAACTGTGCTGGCAAGACTGGGAGTGCAAGAGGCTATGACAGAGGGGCAGGAATACCTTTAACTATTTGACATCCAACACTTCATGTTGTGAAACATAGCCTGAAGTTAACACAGGTACACAGGTAGTTTAAAGCCTGATATTTTCTATCTTCTACATGTGATGTGCATTTGTATTTGTATTGATACAGAGGGCAGTCTACCTGTAGGATAGGCATTCTGGTTATGCTAAATTGAATTTCTCATGTATAATTGAACTTTTCAAGTAGAACAGAGCTGACATTCCACATGTGCAGATTTACTGCTCTCTTGTGACATTTCCAGACACTCTGCCCTGTCAGATATCTGGAGTCTTGGTAGACCACCACCCAAAGCATGAGAATCTGGTGTCAAAGTCAGTAGTATTGATAGGCCTGTGTTCCTTTCTATTAAGCAATCCTGCTCTGGAGCCCAGAATGCTGTCTAAACAACTGAAGCTGACTCTTTACAGGCCAGTGATATTTTCCCTGATGGTTGGATGCCCACTTCTCATCATCATCAGTAATGGCTCCATAAACCCAGACTGCAGTAACAACTTTCTTGGCAGACAATGTCAGAGCCAGTGGTAAATCACAGCACTTTGTATATCCTGCCATTCTTGAGCTTTGTTATAAAAATGGTACAGAGGTACAGTGTTAAGCCATGTATTGTGGAGAGAGGAGGACTTTACCTCATTTCAAAGCACTTTACGTCTTTTCAAAGACAGTTTTTTGAAACAAGTTATCACCTTCTCTTCATTAATGCCTTGGGTGGAATTAGACTGCTCTGATTGAGGGCCTTTAAGAAATATGAACCAGAAACGCAGGAGGAATTCTGGCTGGTATGACTTACTCTTTCTGTATCATCCCAGAAGCATAGCACAGTCTGTAATAACAGGTCTGAATGAGATGCTGATGAAGGCCTATTTATCAACCTGTAAGATATATACACATATAGCCCTCAAATCTTTTGAATTAGACCTTATTATTTCAACCTATAACAATGCATAGAATATCAGGAATAATTTGTGACTGTCAACTACACAAAGACTATACTTCCTATTGCCATTCTTTTGATATATTTTTCATACACTTAGTAAAAACGAAAATTTTCTAGGAACTTTCAAAGCTATACAGTTAAGTCCCTTTTAGAAGGTGTGTTTCAGAAGCTTATCACAGAACTGAGGAAAATCAACATAATTTAGTACTTCAGACTGGGAACTCCAGGATCATCCACTTACATTTTGGGGAAACTGACTTTTAAACGCAAACTTTGGGTAGATGACTTACTTTGAGTATATCCTTGTTCAAGACAAACTGTGGTCCGTACTCTTTTGTAAAGATAGGCATTTTCATACATCTTTCTGAATTTTTTGCTGACCAAGATGTCCTTCCTTTGTGCTTCCCTAGAGTTTGTTACTGTAAGTAACAAATATGTGGGGCCATATTACTCAGGTATTCCTCTGAGGACCACTCACAGTATATGTGTGATGATGCATATGACTGTAGTTTTAGCAATTTGCACTAATATACAACTATTTTTTGGTACAAAAATCTCAAGAACTTGATTTACAGTGTTTGTATTTACAGTATTCATCCTTTACATGCTGATGACTTCAAACATTTTGATAGACTGCTATATAAAACTTTCCCCAAATTCTGAAATGTTTATTTAATGTGCTTTACAGCCAGCATCATTTACTACTTATTTCAAAAGACAATTATCCAGACAGTTGAACAGCTGATTTAAACCAACCAAATTATAATGGACTGAATTTAAAGCAAACTAACTGCACCAAAACTGTGTATAAAACACACTCTCTTATCTTCTTGTCTTTCAAATCTACATCAGTATTAAAGTACTGTGTTAGGTGTTCATTTTCTGAACTATCAACCTTCCTAGCATTAACCTCCCTTAACAGAGTTTATATGATATAATGACAGCCTTTTCCTTTCTGTTACAACTCCTTTCAAAGAAGCTGTAATTTATTTATAGAAAGTGATAGCTGTCACAAAGAATGAAGAGTTTCTGTAAAGTATTGCAAGTTCTAGTCATTCTTTGCTGCCTGTAGAGCCAATTCATGAAGACCAAGAAAATTTATGTAGATAGTGAGGTCATCAGCACTTCAAGGGACATCAAGGAAAATATTTCTGATAAGTATATGATTATTGTAGAAAAATAGGCTGTCATTTAAGTAGTACAGATATACTTGAAACATAGATTTCATCTTCATTAAGAATAATAGTTGATTGTAAACTTCCCAGATCTCTTGACCTTGACAGCAATATTTGAAAAGATGATTAAAACCAGGAAAAAAAAAAGTTCAAAATCATGTCACAATACTGAAGTTCTGTACTGAAACCAAAATGGATTCTATATTAGGCTTACAGAAAGAAGTGAATTTTTATTGCTATAGGCAACCGATATTTTCAAAAGCCTTCTCAAAACTGCAAATATATCTCAGGTTTCAGTTTGTTTCTTTAACTAACACTCCAGCTTTGAACAACTTACTCTAGCTGGAAATTTCAGGACTGTCAGAGGACATAAAGTCCTAAATATACATGCACTAGTCTCACACTCAGTACAAAGAAATTTAAAAGTTCCATAAATTATATCCATAAATCAAAGACACATGCTGGTTTTCATCCATCAGAATATGAACTCATGGCACAGACATCCCCTGAAGCTCAGCTGAGAGATTCATGAGGTACTGTATTTGGTTAGTAGCAAAAGAGTACCAGCCATTTCATGTATAGTAAACTACAGTTCTACGAAGTATGAAAAAAGGTAAGCTGCTTTGCAGGCTTTCATTGTGATCGCTTAGGGTTTTTTTCCATACACCACATATAACTGAGATGTGTTAGCTGACTTGTCATGTTAGTTGGCCCGTAGAAGTGACAAGTAGTTGTAGCTGTAAAGCGCAATTCACTGGAAAAACAAAAGTACCAGATCAAGAAAAAATGTCAACAATGATTAAACCCTTGCTGGGTAAAGAGAATAAGGAAAGACTCTTTTATCCTCAGGTTATAAGCAACTGATCTTTACTCAGTTACACTCAGGGCAATATCCCTCCCCAACTTACACACACACACACACACACACACACACACACACACACACACACTCTCAACATCATGAAGTTCAACAAGGGCTAGGGAAAGTCTTGCATCTGGGGAGGAATAGCCCCATGCACCAGTATATGCTGGGGACCAACCTGCTGGAAAGCAGCTTTGCTGAAAAGGACGTTAGGGTCCTGGTGAACACCAAGCTGAACACAAGCCAGCAATGTGCCCTTGCAGCAGAGGCAGCATATGGTATCCTGCACTGCAACAGGAGGAATGCTGCCCGCAGGTTGAAGGAGGTGATCCTTGCCCTCTCCTCAGCACTGGTGAGGCCACACCTGGAGTGCTGTGTCCAGTTCTGGGCTCCCCAGTACAAGAGAGACATGGCCATTGTGGAGAGAGCCCAGACAAGGGCCAGTAAAATGCTGAAGGGACAGGAGCATCTCTCCTATGAGAAAAGTCTGAGAGAGCTGGGACGGCTCAGCCTAGGGAGGAGGACTTCATCAATGTATTTAAACACCTGAGGGGAAGGTGCAACAAAGACAAAGCCAGGCTCTTCTCAGAGGTGCTCAAGGACAGGACCAGAGGCAATGGTGTCGCGATCCATTTTGGTCTCTCCAATTTACAAGATCATGTATTTTGTAAATTAAATCTTATATTATGAGCTCATTAGGAAAGAAAGCAAACTAACATGACAAACAAGGGCTCAATCCCCTTTGTACAAACTAGTCTAGCATGCGAATTCCCTAATTTATCACATCAGTCATGAGGTTTCTTACAATTTCTCCAATTCATAACTAGCTGCAATTCATTCACTTATGAGCAAAATAGTTACCTAGCCTATGGTGAGAGTGCTCATCCTTCTTCCTCCGTCATGGTGCAGGCATCCCCTGTATGACACTGGGAAGCATGAAGACATCATAATTCCAGCTACTGTTGGATCCGCTTAAAAATCTTTTTGGGTAAGCTGGCATATATATACACCTTCCAGCTTAGAAGTTTGGTCTATAACATTTCCATGCATTAGCAGATCCTGAAAAACTGCCAGACAACCAATATGAAAGGATTATGGCTGCAGGAGACAGCAAGTTGCAGGTGATAGTGGCTGCATCATGACCTTTAGCCCTTTCTGGCCACTGTGTCCTGCCTGTATGTTTGCCCACACTTTGATCTAGTGGCCCAGCTCCCAGGAGGCATCAGGCCTTAGCATGAGCTGTGTGTTAGCCAAAACCTGAGCAGGAGTTGAGTGAACAGTCACACAGTGGGCACAGACTGAAACACAGAAGGTTCCTCCTGAATATCAGGAACTACATTTTTACTGTGAGGGTGACCAAGTCCAGGCACCACTTGTCCAGCGAGCTGTAAAGTCCCCCTTCTTGGAGATATTCAAAAGCTGTTTGGACAGGGACCTGGGCAACTGGCTATGTGTGGCCCTCCCTGAGATGGGGGTTTAGACTGGGTAACTTCCAGAGGTCCCTGCAAACATCAACTGTGATATCTGCGATATATGGAAGGGATGGGGAAAAAAAAAAAAAGAGAAAAAAAGAGAAACAAGATAAAACAAGACTGCAGTAAAGCAATTCCAATCACTAAATTGAATTAATTCTCTTTCTTCCATGGGAAAAAATCAACAGTGCTTACTACTGAGTGATATGGTGATATCAGGCTAACTAACCTCCACGTTTATATCATACGTTGTCTAGCAAGCCACCAGAATGCAGACAGAATGCAGCTTAAAAAAAGGAGGTATTTTACTACAGTTTGGTTTACAGCATGGCTCCAAGTATTCAAAAAACCTCAATGGCAGTCTTCAAAATGTTGCCTTGTCTGTTCTCAGTTGGTCCTAAAGTTCACACCTGACAGTTTGGGTTGCCTCTTAAGCTTAACAAAAGGAAGTGTATCACTCTTAGGAACTTCACAAAGCCAGGCCACCAGTTCAGTTAAGGGACAATGAACACATGACCCCTCTACTGTTCTCCCCAGTCTACTCATTCTACTCTGGAAAGACATCACATTCTTCCAAAACTTCTTTCCCAACAAATTCCTGGAATATCCACCTAGCCTTCATTCTGCTGCCCATTTCTTAATTTATCCCCATGCCACACACTCCATCCTCTTCTACATAGATCCAGCTGGAGAATCCAGGACCTCATCTTGACCCTCCTTTGTTTGACTGGAAGGCCTGACAGTTCTAGGGTTTGACTTGTAGCAGCTCAGCTACTGATGTTGTCTAAGTTTTCTCTCAAATTTCTTTCATCATGTTTCTCTGCTGGAATTCATGGGAGAACACCTATTTTCTCACTACATGCATAGAGACCAAGATTAGATCTTGTTTGAGGCCTTAAAAGTGCCAGTAATAGAAATAATAGAAGACAAAAAGACTCAGCACTTCTGTAGTATTGTATTACTACCCTTATCTAGCCAAGGAATTTCAGTTTGCTGCTTCCTTGTCTCAGCTGCCTATGGAGGAAATGGAGCAGGTTAGTGTTGGACAGCACTCCAGTTTTGTTAAAACAAACAAACAAACAAAATGCAGCAACTTTCTTCACAGTTCTTGTGGAAATAAGTGTATCACAGATTATATGAATAGCTTGTGAACCCCTTATGGATTAGCACCAATTATCTGATGTGGACACTCACTGCTAAAAAGCCTACACAAATACAGTATTGATCTTATTTCAGAAAAGACCTTTGTGAAACAGACAGTTCTTGTTGACTGACAACTATGATGTCCTAGTGACTACAGCCTTGAAATGCTCCTTACTACTATAATAAATGTGTGACTAAGCAGGTAAAACATGATTTAGGCTGCAGCCAACATAAAGAACAGGAGGAAACATCAGCACCACAGAAATCTCATTTCAAAATTTTTCTGTGATTTTATTTACCATAGCAGCTTACAGAAAGGAAAACCAGGATTATTATGAGTCAGGTGTGATTCAATCACATATTTCACCTGGAGTGCAGAACAAAGCACAGAAATATAAATGCAGATGCATGAAAAACATTTGTGGGTTTAAAAGTAGAATAAAGCATATAGCTGAATGTTAAAATACAGAAGTTATCTCTTTAAAATTATCACAGCATGCTCACTCAGGGACAAGACCATGATTTGGGATACATGCTTACTGCAAGATTCAGTAATAATTCAAGTCTAATACATGAAATTGCTCATTTCACAACCTGAAACTCTGTGGGAAGGTAACTGTCATGCAATTTCCATAGCTGCTAGTAAGACAGTTTGTCTTTTGTGGACCACACTAGTCAAATTGTGACTGATACCACTCAACTGAATTAGGCAAGGGATGAAAAAATAAGAATGGCTTTTACAGGTACATTGGCCAGAAAAGGAAGATTAAAGAAAAGGTACCCCCATAGTAAATAAGACAGAAGGGCTGGTGACAACTGACATGAAAAAGGCTGAGGTACTCAACAATTTTTTTGCCTCAAAATGGTAATCTCTCTTGTCACACCTCTTGAGCTCCTGATCTTCAAGGTAGGGACTGGTTGAATGGTCACTCCCATTGTAGGAGAAGATCAGGCTCAAGACCCCCGTAGGAACTTGAACATACGCATGCCCATGGGACCCCGTGAGATGCATCCCAGTGTCCTGAGGGAACTGGCTGATGTAGTTGCCAAGCCACTCTCCATCATACCTGAAAAGTCACAGCAGTCATGGAAAGTCCCCAGTGGCTGGAAAAAGGGGAACATCACACACATTTTTTAAAAGGTAAAAAGGAGAACCCTGGGAAGTACTTATCAGTCAACCTCACCTCCGTGTCTGGTAAGATCATGGAGCAGATCCTCCTGGAAGACATGTTGAAACATGTGGAAGACAGGTAATTGGAAACAGCCAACATGGCTTCACCAACAGAAAATCATGCAGGACTGATTATGTGGCCACCTATAATCGAGTAACTGCATCACTGGACAAGGGAAGAGCTAAAGATGTCATCTACCTGGACTTCTGTAAGACTTTTGATACAGTCCTGCGGTGGACAGAGGAAGCAAGTAGTCAATTCAATATGAATGATAGAGCAAGCTTCAACTTTATTGAAAGAAATCACAACTTACATAAGCACTAACTATAATTATGCACACTAATCATAAATCTATTGGATACATCCAAAAGATTACATTATAATATCCCAGCCCCCTGTGGCACTTTAGGTATGTCACAACATCCTCCTTCTTCTGGCTTGCTTTCTTTCCCAAGGTTGTTTACCATCATACTCAAGACTGCTGTGTACCTCAGTTACTCTCTTTGCCAACATAACAGTCCTTTGTTAGCATAACTGTGCCCTGAATCTCCTTCCTTGTTAGCATAACTGTACCCTGTTTTTTTTCCTCTGTTTACCTCAGATGGCTGCAATCAGCTCCTGCACAGACCCGTGGCCTTGTTCTGCAAGCCATTCTCCAACACGGTCCCTCATAACATACTTGCTGCTAAATTGGGAGAGATATGGGTTTGTCAGATGCATTATTAAATGGATAAGGAACTGTCCGGTTGGCCTTCTCCACCAAATTAAAAGGCAATGGCTCAGTATCAAAGTGGAAACCAGTAATGAGTAGTATCCCAGAAGGGTCTGTATTGGGACAAACAATATTTAATATCTTAAGCAACAATATAGACAGTGGGATTAAGTGCACCCTCAACAAGTCTGTGGCTGACAAGAAGCTGAGTGGTACAGTTGATATGCCTGAGAGAAGGGATGGCATCCGGAGAGACCTTAACAGGCTTGCAAAGTGGGCCCATGTGAACCTCATGAAGTTCAACAAGGCCAAGTGCAAGGTCCTGCCCATGGGTCAGTGAAATCCCCAGTATCAGTTCAGACTGGGAGATGAATGGATTGAGAGCAGCCCTGTGGAGGAGGACTTAAGGGTACTGGTGGATGAAAAACTGGACATGAGCCAGAAGCGTGCTCTCATAGCCCAGAAAGTCAACCATATCCTGGGCTGCACAAAAGTATGGCCAGCAAGTCAGGGAAGGTGATTCTCCCCCTCTCCTTTGCTCTGGTGAGATTCCACCTGGAGTATTGCTTCCAGCTCAGGGGTCCCCAGGTCAAGAAAGACAAGTACATGATAGAGCCAGTTCAGCAGAGCTCCACAAAAATGGTTAGAGGGATAGATCATTCCTGTGAAGAAAGGCTGAGCTGGGGTTGTTCAGCCGGGAGAGGGCTGTGGGGAGATCTTATTGTGGCCTTTCAGTATATAAAGAGGGCTTATATGAAAGGTGGAGAGATACTTTTTACCAGGGCCTGTAGTGACAGGACAAGAGGCAACAGTTTTAAACAGAAAGAGTGCAGTTTAGATTGGATATAAGGAAGAAGTTTTTTTACAGTGACGGTGATGAGGCACTGGAACAGGTTGCCCAGAGAAGCTGCGGATGCCTCCTCCCTGGAAGCATTCAAAGTAGGGTCAGAGGAGGCCTTGAGCAATCTGGTCTAGTGGAAGGTGTCCCTGCCCATGGCAGAGGGGTTGGACTAGATGATCTTTAAAGGTCCCTTTTAATCCAAACCAGTCTATGCTTCTGATACCTTAAAGATTGGTTTATCAAATCAAAAAATGATCCTTATGCACACTGATCAGGAAAGCTCAGTCAGCAAGCAGCTGATAAGAGAGGGCCTAGTTCCTACCTACTACCCGTAAAGCATCCATATCTTGATTAAAAAAAAAAAAAAAAAAGTTTTAGTCTCTGGAAAACAACTTATTGAGAAAATAAAGTGTTAATGAATTGTCAGGAAAATGATCCTATCTTTTCTGTTCATCGCTGATGACACCAAACTGGGAGGTGCTGTTGACTCTCTTGAGAGATAACAGGCCTTGCAGAGGGATCTGGATAGACTGGTGCATGGGACAATCATCAGTGGCATCAAATTTAATAAGAACAAGTGTTGAATTCTGCACCTGGTACAGAGAAATGATAGGCACAAGTATAAATTGGGAGAGGAGTGGCTGGGGAGCTGCTCTGCAGAAAGGGATCTGGGGGTGCTGGCTGACAGCAGGCTCAGTATGACCCAGAGTGTGCCTTGGCAGACAAAAGGGCAAACCACATCCTGGGGTCATCACACACAGCATAACCAGCCAGTCAAAAGAGGGGATTATCCCACTGCATTCAGCGTTGGTGTGGCCTCACCTTGAGTTCTGTGTGCAGCTCTGGGCTCCACAACTTAAGAGGGTGTGAAGCTCCTTGAATGCATCTGGAGGAGGGAAACAGAGCTCGTGAAAGGGCTGGAAGGAATGTCCTGTGAGGAGTGGCTGAGGACTCTGGGTTTGCCTAGTTTGGAGAAAAGGAGGCTGAGGGGTCACCTCACTGCTCTCTGCAGCTTCCTGAGGAGGGGAAGTGGAGTGGGAGGTGCTGAGCTCTGGGATCCAGTGATAAGACTTGGGGAATGGTTCAAAGCTGCACCAGGAGAGGCTCAGACTTGACATTAGGAAACATTTCTTTACTGAGGGGGTGATCAAACCCTAGAACGGTCTTCCTGGCGAGGTGGTCGATGCCCCAAGCCTGTCAGTGTTTAAGAGGCGTTTGGACAATAGCCATAACAACATGCTTTAACTTGTGGTCAGGCAGTTGGGCTAGATAGATGATTGTTGTAGGTCCCTTCCACCTGAGATATTCTATTCTAAGGAACTTCGTTCACTGTACACATAAACGTAGCCTAGCAACTGATGCTGTCACACCTCTACTATAATCCACATTCCTCTTGAAATAGACTGAGAAGTTTCACGCAGTCTCTTCTTTAAGGACAGGTGGGCCCCGCCACTATCATGAAACAGACAGGCTGGCCTGAAGACTGGAAATCGCACTCATTCCTCTGCTCAGCTTTCCTTTCCTTAGGGCAGCCAGCGATAAATTACCGAAAAGGACTGGCTGAAGGAGCGTGCTCCGCTCCAGAAACTGCCCCGCTCCGGCGCGGGGCCAGCAGCCGGTGGGGGATGCGGCCGCTCCGGCGGCAGCGGGGGGAG